GACCTAATCACCAACCCCTTCTCCAAGGTCATGACCTATGTGACCTAATCACCAACCCCTTCTCCAAGGTCATGACCTATGTGACCTAATCATCAACCCCTTCTCCAAGGTCACGCTCCTCATCCACCTCATCTCCTTTGCTCAGCTCAGTGACCTTCTTGACTGTCCCCTCTGCCAAATATTTAACGGTTTCTTCTGCCTTGGAAACTTTCTCAATATGTACGCATGGTTCCTCCTCATCTATTTCAGATATCTTTTCAAAATTTACACAGAGATATTTCTAAGGACCTTGATTGACTTCTCAGACCGTTTTTCAGCCTCAGGAGCTCTAATTGTTGCATTTACTAGCACAGAGTAAAACTCCACAATTATTTTTTAAAAAACAAATGTGTGCAAGATTGGAACTATCTGTTGTAAATAATAGATCCTGAGTACTTTATGATTTTTTTTAATTTTTCAGAATGTTAATATTATTTAAAAAGATTGTGATCAACCAGACTCCTATAGCACAGGACTAAATTGAAAAATCAACAAATGGGATGGTATCAAACCCCAAACTTCCTCACAGAAAAGCAAACAATCAAGAGCATAAAGAAACAGCCTACAGAACAGGAGAAAAATCTTTGCCATCTGCACCCAGATAAAGCATTAATCTCCAGGATATAAAAAGATCTCAAAATGCCTAACCCCCCCCCCCAAAACCAAATTGACCAATCAATAAATGAGCTAAGGAGCTAAACAGACAACTGGTCAAAAAATATATGAAAAAATGTTCAACATCTCTAGCAATGAGAGAAATGCAAATTAATACTATACTGAGATTTCATCTCACTCTAGTCAGAATTGCAGTTATCAAGAATACAAGTAACAATAAATATTGGTGAGGAATGGGGGGAAAGGTACGCTCATGCATTGCTGGTGGGACTGCAAATTGGTGCAATCACTCAGAAAAGCAGTATGGAGATTCCTCAAAAAACTAAGAATGGAATCACCATTTGACCCAGTTATCCCACTCCTTGGCATATACCCAAAGAACTTAAAATCAGCATACTATAGTGATGTGGCCATATCAATGTTCATAGCAGCTAAATTCACAGTAGCTAAAACTATCTAACCAACCTAAAGAAAATGTGGTATATATACACAATGGAATATTAGTCATCTATAAAGAAGAATGAAATCATAGCATTTGCTGGTAAATGAATGGAACTGGCAGCATACTAAGTGAAATAAACCAATCCCCCAAAACAAAGGCTGAATGATCTTTCTGATATGCAGACGCTGAATCACAATAGGTGGGGGTTGTGGGGAGGAGTGGAGGTTCACCAGATTGGATGGGGAGGAAGGGAAGGAGAGATGAGAATGGGAAAGACAGTAGAATGAATCCGACATCACTTTCCTATGTTCATATATGAATACACGACCAGTGTCACTCTACCTCATGTACAACCACAAGAATGGGAAGTTATACTCCATGTATGTGTAATATGTCAAAATACATTCTATTGTCATGTAGAACTAAAAAGAACAACAATTAAAAAGACACATTGACGATATTCAGGAGGATGTGGGGGATCCAAAGGAGTACCTGCATTTAAGATCTCCTGATCCTTCCTATCATTTCTTCACCACCCTAACTATTAGGATCATTGCAACAGCATCACAAGCTATGCATCACCATTGCCATCGCATGAAATGACAATTTGGACAATGGCAGATAAAAATGAAATGAGTATTGCTTGACATTATGCACACAAATGATATAAGAGGTTGCCTGTTTAGATTAGCCAGAAAAACAACAACAACAATGTATTTGGGAGTTGATCCTAGCAAGAAGAAATAGTGGATCAAGGATGAAGAAAGACAGAAGATTCCATGCCAGGGTGTGTTATTGACCTGGCATGTCAGTGTCCCTGGAAGCCACTGGAGGTAGCCCCGAGGACTTGTTTTATAGGTGACGGGGGTAAAAGCTGGTTGACATTCATTGATGGACAGCTACTTCTAAAATAAATACTTGGGAATTGAAAATTTGATCTAAACATCTGCATACAGCAGCCCTTTGGTCCCCACAGGGGGTGTTCGTGCCAGAATCCCTGACAGATACCCAAATCCTCAAATGCTCAAGGTTCTTGTGCAGCATGTCCTGATATTTACATATCACCTATCTCTTCCTCCCATATTCCTTAATTCATCTCTAGACGACTTATAATACCTCTGGCAATGTCAATGCTAGTAAATAGTTGTTACATTGCATTGTTTAGGGAACAGCGACAAGAAAAAAGTCGTCTGCACATGTTCAGATATTTTTCCAGATATCTTTGATCCGTGGTTGGTTGAGTGTGAATGTGGCACACAGAGGGCCATCTGTACTTTGTGCCCACTCTGAATGCAGTTCATACTCCTTTCCCCACTTGTCCAGTGTTAAGAGTATACGGATCCTTGACCAAACATCCAAGTCATTGGCCATGGCAGAGGAATCTTTCCCAATCCCAGTCTCCATGGCTTCTCTTCCACAAGGTCAAAAGCCAAATACATTGTTTGCAAATGTGCTCACTGGGCCCTTTACCATCTCCTGCTGTCTTTAGGTCTAACCCTAACTGGACTATAATATGTAAAAATGATTTTCAAAATTCCACAACTGGTATACTGAAAGAAGACAGAGGTGTTTCGCTCTTCATCAACCAATTTTAGAGAGCTCCTCTGAGTCTATCGGTATACAGTGATGAACAAATATTGGTGCAATAAATGTAGGTGACATCAGGACCTGGGGCCCTCATTCATGTTATTTCTTTGTGCCATTTGGACCTACTCTAATTGCTTCCAGATATATCACATGCCCTTGGTCTTATAATCTTGTATCTGAGAATACCAATTGATGGTGAAAATGTTTAACTTCAGTGGCATAGTCACCTGTCATCTCCTGGGTGCATGCTTCACTCTATAAAAACCTGGTAGCCCACCAGGAGCTGTAACACAATTATAGATCTACCTTGCAAATGGCTGAAACTTGACAGAGACTCCATGATACTGAATGTACAAGGAACAGCTTTAGTTTCATAGTCCCCGCCCCCACTCCCCAGTACTGGATATTGAACCCACTTAGCTACACCCCTAACCCTTTCAATTAAGTAATTTATTTTTCTGAGACAGTCTCACTAAGTTGCATAGGCTGGCCTCAAGGAGGCTCCCCTTTAATCCCCTCGCTCTCTGGTCCTACTTCTATAAATTTCCTTATGAACTAACTCTAAGAAGAATGATGATAAAAGCAAACACATCCCCTAGGTCTTGAAGCACCACAAGGTGACTGCACAAGGTGCTCTCTATGACACAGCTGGATGCAGCATCTCTGGAGTCAGTAGAAGCTAAGACTTCAGGTGGAGCCAGAGCAGATAAAGGAGCCACCTGCAGACGGTCACACTAACAAAAAATTCTTGTATTGTCATTGCAAACCTAAGAAATAAAAATCACACAAGTAAAGAGTAATAGATGTAGCGTTTGCTCACCTATGAGAAAGCATGTGTGGCGTTTGATTTATATAAAAGATTGAGACAGATATGCAGTATGGGCTCTGGAATATGTCTGCAGTCTTGGGTCACAATTGATATTCAATCATTAATATTTATTCTAACAGCTTAAATTTTCTTAAATTACATACACAAAAATATCTTAATATAAATTATATATATATATATGTACATATATGTATGAAGTATAAAGGTTAAGTCTCTTACATTGCTTCTGGGTTCATTATACAGATAGTTCCTGGGCAATGGCATTTCTTGACGTCATCGTATGATATCCCCATATTCAAGCTCACTAACTGAGCTAAAATAATGGCAAGTGATTCCAGACCTATGGCTTTGGGGTGCTGGGAAAAAAAAAAACAGAAACCCACAAATTTACATGTACATATTGTTATAGGCATTTTATTGACTTGCAGAACAATGTCATTATTCAAAATAGTCATATAATAAAAAAGGAGTAGAGGCATCTAATACTGTTATCCACAGAAGTGCCATCATTGTTGACTGAACTCCATATATTGCAGGTATTATCATAAATATTAGGAAAATATGAAAAATCAAATCTGAAATTGTACTAAAATGTAAATGAAAGACTCATTTGGTGGCATCAGGCCAAGGAATTAAGTGACCCAGTAGCTTATTAACTATATATAACAACAGTGTCGTACTCACAAACGAAATCTTTCAAGACAAACACATAAGACAAGTGTATCTCAAATTATTGGTCAATTGTGTTTATTTACTATTTAATTCTTCAAAGTTGAAGATATCTTGTGTGACTGTTCCATAGGTGTTTTTTAAACTTATAAAATCACTTGTTGAAATAATAATTGATATTATGGTAATAACGGCTGAAAATAAAAATGCTGTTTTCAGTTATTTACTCTTTATGTTCAAAACTAAAATACTTTTATTGTTTCCCTTTTTATAAAGATAATAAGATTGTAGCATATTTTCATACTATTAAGACATGAATTTTGAAGGAGACCCACAAGTCTTGGCATGCCTTCAAATATACCTAATGAGCATTTTGATGAGCAGACTTCAGGTAGGTTTCTAGGCATAAGTTTTAGTTTCTTCTTCCCCTTGTTTTCCACCCTGCTTTCTAGACCAAGAGGATGGGACAAATGAATCCTATCAGAGGGTCGTTTGTCCTCCAGTTTTACTTCCATGCCGTCTGATGAGAAGGAGGGTGAGACTGAGGTGTTTACCACCATCCATGCTAGGTGGTTGTGAATCCCAGAACCTTGCACTGGGGGTCTGCTTTCCATATGAACCTGATCAGATGCTGCTGCTCCCCTCTCAGCCTGGTAACTCACTTATCACCAGGACAGAGGGACCTTGCGTACGCATTGTTAAATGTCCCATTTATCAAATTTCCACATTTGAATATACCATTTGATTGCAGAGAGAGAGAGAGAGAGAGAGAGAGAGAGAGAGAGAGA